TACCAATCTAATGCGGAAACATATCATCTCACACCAGGAACCGTGGTGTTATTTTCATGTGTTCGGAGGTATGCAATTGTTGGAAACCCAAAGAATATAATACCACAGTTCCCCTATGTTTCCGCATTGAATTGGTAGATCATGAATCCTCGAATGAATCCTGGAATTCGGAATAATATTATTGTAGGAAGTAAAAACATATCATGAAAAGATTGAATGGGATGTTTTCAACTACCTCATCGGCCATCAAAAACATCGAAATTCGTATAAAATGGTAGCCCAAATAAGCGGAAAGTCATCAGTTCCCTTCTCTTCTATTTCGATACTTTCCCTTTTCCAGAATGCTCTTCTACAAAGCTCTTCTTGCTATCCTTGCCTCCACTGCTGTCGTTTGGGCTCTTCCAGTACTTGGTGATTCTAATGGACTCCTCAACGGTCTTACTGGAAAACTCAACGGTGCTCTTGGGAACACACCACTTGTGAGTTGAATAACTATATGCTTGTATGATTTTCACAAGTTACAGGGGAATCTCAATATTGCCGAGTTGATTGATCTTGACGAGTTACTTGAACTTCTGGAAATGCTTAAAGAAATCAAGGAAAATATTTCACTAACAGGGGAACTAAAACCTGAACTTGAAGATGTAGTAGATGACGGGGAAGCAACAATTGAACCTGATGCTGATGATAATGATGAAGCTAATCCTGAAGATGCTGAAGGAACTACGGATGCTTCGGAACCAAACGGTGATTTAACAACCCCTGATCCTGAAGGAAGTACGGAGGCTTGAACCTGAACAAGAATCCAACAAATAAATGTACCCTTTTTCAGTTTTGAATCATTTTTGGTGAATAAATAATCGAACATTCCACCACTTTCTTGTAGTCAGAATACTTGAAATTTATTTTTTTGAAAGTTGTATTGGCACCTGAAAGGGATTCTGAAATTAGCGAATTCAGTGATACATTATAACGACCTTTCCAAAAGAAGCTGTTGACAGGATTTTGAAGATTTTTATTGAAATTCAAAAATAAAATTTATGATTAGGGAATTTAAAATGATCCCTCTAATCAAAGGGCACCGGCCCATACTATGAGGGTACATTGAAATAGTGCACCTCATGCTCAAGGGGTACATTGACTCAGAGGGTACATCGTCTGAAAAGGTACATCTAGGTAGATTAGCCTAGGGATTGGTACATCTAGGCTTAGGTTGACCTAGATATACACCCTGATAGTGAGACAACTACCTAGATTTACCCCCTCCAAACTATGTACCCCATCAGTCAATGTACCTTCTAACCAAGATGTACCTCGATGTACCCTCTTCTGATGTACACCCATAGTATGGGCCAAGGGCACCTGTATTAGGAGTGCTCCTCCGATGATATAAAAGAGCCGGTCAGTATATTACAGGTTCAACGGTGTTCTGGAATTGAAATTGTTCCGGACTTCATAAGCTTATCAAATGTTAAATTTTCAAAAAAGTAGTTTGGTGCCAATTCTGCCCCATTATAAAGCCTCCAATTCTTCAAAACACCAAAAAATCACACTTTCTTTTTTCTATCATTTCTGATTTTCAATCTCCTCGCCCTTTTCCCCGCCAAACTGTCTGATAAACTATCCTTTTCTCTCTCTCACTCATTTTCATTTTCCCTTCTTCTTTTTTACACAAATAATCATCTCCCATCTGCGTCTCTCTTTACAGTGATCTCTCTGGCTATCAGTCGGAAATTTCTCTAAACTCTCTCTGATTGGCGTACTATTTCCCCAATGATTTTTGGGGTCGAATTGGTATATTTGCTGTGTTCTTTAAGACGATAGAGATAGAGAGAGAAGGGATAGAAGAAGAAGTAGTAGTCATTTATTTTTTTTTGGGTTTCCCAGTTTTCTCTCTTTCTCTAGGTCTCTCCTGTCATATGCCTCTATATCTCTACATTTTGCAGTTCTAATTAATTCCAAAAAAATGCGGACATGATTGTATATTCCTTACTAACTTTAATTCTCTACGATTCTCTATTATTCATTCCGAAAGTTGACTCATTTGGAACTGTATGCATTGGACTGTGTCATTGTGTGGGCGATGTCGTCGATTGCTCATCACTAGATCTTCCGGATATTCCAACGTCGATTCCGAATAACACAAGGGTTTTATTATTATCTGATAATGAGATTGAAACTATTGACAAGACAAAGTTAAAGGGATTTTATTTTCTACAGACCCTGTGAGTTTTATAAAAACTAAAAACACTTTAATAGAAAGCTACCCAGCTTTGATATATCTCATTTTCTGTTGAAGATATCAAAAAGTGATCAACGGACAAAATATTTATCATAATATCAACAGTATTTTATCAGTTGAAATATTTTTGATATCATTTACAGGAATTGGGATATATGGGCTCAAAGTGGTTGGTTCCGGTGGCCTATGGCTTACGGTAGATTTTCCATTTAAAGCAACATAGACGAAATTGAATTGATTATCGAAACGTTCAAATTCGATAGTTCATCACTATCCCTTATCACCTTAGCATCCACTTATTACAATTTTCGATAATTAGCAAAAATTAATGACAAGATCAAGATATATTAGTGTCAAAAAGGAAAAATAGTCAGAATCCTTAAATTTGAGAGGTACAGTACACTTGAGTCCAACTATCCTAATACCCAGAAAAGGCCCAAAAAAGGGATCAACTATTAGAATACATGAAATTATACCAAAATTATAATTTCGCTGTAAAAATTTCTACTTTTTACAAGAGCCGATGTACCGTAAAACCTCTAATAGAAGGGCCCCTACCTTTCAACTTTGAGCCGATTTATCTCGGTTCCTTTGAAAGATTTTAAAAATCTTTCAACTAATAAGTTGTTTATCATAATATCACCAATATTTTATCAATTGACAAATTTTTAATATCTCTTATAGCAACCAAGATAATTGAGGTCAAAGGGAGTACGGTAGATTCAAATTAAGTCAAGCCAGAACTGTCACCTTTGAGCTCAATTACCTTGGTTCCTTTGAAAGATATCAAGAATTTGTCAACTGATAAATTGTTTAATATAATATCACCTATATTTTATCAGTTGACAGATATTTGATATCTCTCATAGGAACCGAGATAATTGAGCTCAAAATTCAATTTCAGAGACCTTTCGAACAACATCATCCGCCACATCGATGCTGACTTTTTTCTCCATCTTCCCAATCTTCTAGTACTGTAAGTCCCAAAGTTCTCCTTTATGATTTTTTGAACACTCTAACGCCCAAGTGCTTACGATTGTAAATTCCTTTATTCCTCGTCGTTGTCGGCTCGATTCCCCCTATCTTATCAGTTGGAAAACTCGTGATTTTTTTTTTGAAAATCGGAAATGTTTGTAAGAGAAAAATGTTTTTGAAGGAATTGAGTAGGGAAGAGTGATGTCATCGAAAATAGGATTTTCAGAAATCTACGAAAAAACCGTCTACCCCGGATACCAGGAGGAAGTCATGAGTTGGAGCACTTGGAAAAATTGGATTTGTATGTTTCTATGGACCCCAAACTTGGAAGAAAAAGAAAATTTCAGACGATCCAACCTAATCTCCACCTTGTCATCCGAAGAGCTGAGCAATCTAGCCGCTATTCGATCAGTGGATCTATCCAGGAATCTTATTTCATTCTTGCCAAAACCAATTACCTCATCGAAAGTGAATATTGAAAAATTGTAATGATCGGAAAAATTTTTAAAAAATCTGAAAAATTACATTTCCAGAGATCTCGCCTCGAATTCCATAACCGATCTAGGATCTGACCAGTTTTCTACATTCACCACATTAGTTTCTCTGAAATTGGCTAGAAATCATATTACCTCATTGAGGCAGTTTTCGTTTTCAAGATTGAGACATTTGGAGACGATGTGAGTTTTTATAATTGGGTCCGACGATACGTCCTAGCGGGTTCGGTCATAGATTCTTTTAGAATCAGTATTTTTAAATTATCTACAATAGGTATGATAGAACTCGAAAACCACTACAAAATGACAGTACTTGGAATACTGTATCTTGTCTATGAACAAAATTACAAGCCAAAAACCATCTGAGCTACGCTGTCACTGCTTGGTGGCATGTAACTTTGCTCATGGACAAGATACAGTAATCCAATTAGTATTATTTTGTAGGACTTGTTGAGTTTTATTGTGAGTGGTTAAATTAGTCAGATAATTACCCGTTAGTTCTATTATATATAGTTCAGCTAGTTCAAAAATATTGATGGTAAAAGAAACCATGGGAGGCGTACTGTACTTAACTAGGACCCGCCAGACGGCGTAAACAGGGCTCAAGATGGTCCCCGGCAGGCATTGTCTCAGTTTCTTTATGGATCAATATTTTAAAACCAACTAAATTGGATACGACAGAACTTGATAAGTACTACAAAATAATACTACTTGGTATACTGTTTCTTGTCTATGAACAAAGTTACAAGCTATAAGGCTATGATCGCATGGCTCAGACAGTTTTTGGCTTGTAACTTTGTTCATAGATAAGATACAGTAATCCAAATAGTATCATTTTGAAGTTCTTATCAAGTTCTATCTAAATGTATATAGTTCTCAAATAGTTATCTCTCAGAGACCTAACGAGAAATATGATTCGTGAAGTTCGATTCCTCGCATTCAACCAATTACCATCTCTCCGAAATGTCAGTTTGACCAAAAATGACGTATATCGTCTAGATGATGGGATGTTTTATGCTTGTGAAGGCCTGACTCGACTAAATTTGTCCACTAATCGAGTACAATCAGTGACAGAGGGATGGATGTTCGGGTTGACAAGTTTGGAAGTTTTGTGAGTTTTGAAAATACTTAAATTTTTGAAATTCTTTTATATTTCCAGAGACCTATCCTATAACCAAATCCAATCATTTCATACTAGCTCCTGGAGTCATACACCAAAACTCAAATGGTTATCCTTACATTCTAATAGGATCCAGTCACTTCCATCAGGATCATTCCGAGCTTTGAGGCAACTGGAAGAGTTGATTTTATCGGCAAATTTGATTGATAGCCTACACAAGTTTGCGTTGATTGGAATGGATAATTTACATAAGTATGTTTGGACCAATTTTTCTCGGTGTCTGTGGAAGATATCAAAAAGTAATCAACTGATAAAATATTGATAATATTATGATAAACAATTTATCAGTTTACAGTTTTTTTGATATCTTTAGAAGAAATCGAGATAATTAAGATCAAAGTTAGGAGCCCTTCTATTACAGGTTTTACGGTAATAAATATAAATTTATTCAGACTGGACCTCTCCTCCAACACTCTAGCTGTCTGTGTGGAAGATGGTGCTGTCCTATACAACACATCTATGCCATTCCTCCGATCTCTTCGATTTACCAATAATCAGCTCCGTGTGATCCCCAAAAGAGCATTTGAACGATTCCCGGCGCTGGAGGAGTTGGATTTGACGGACAATCCAATAGCGACCATCCATCCGGAAGCCTTTGAGCCGTTGGAGTTGAAGAAGCTGTAAGATCCAGAAGCGATATCAATTGAACAAGATAATTTTAGAACCATGAACTCTTCATCGATCCTCTGTGACTGTCAAATCTCTTGGCTCGCCTCTTGGATATACAAACTGAAGCTAGATCGGTCCTCGATCATTGCAAAATGTTCCTATCCAGCGCCACTGGCAGATTTGGATGTGATAGCTATTGATACAGCGAACCTAACATGTCACGATGATTCTCCAAGAGCCAAGATCGTACGGCAACCTGTGGAAGTGAAGGCGTTGATTGGAGAGCAGGCGAGATTCATGTGCAATGTTTATGGGGCAAGTCCGTTGAGTATCGAATGGAGGGTCATGGAAAATGGGCAGCCCAGAGTCTTGGTGCAAGATTCGGCAACCTTTTTGAGTGTGAATACAACGGCAGGTGAGATTTTATCTAGGTTTACTGTTAGCCTTTCTAAATTTTTTGTTTTTTTGGGCTTGAACTGGTCCTAAGCAATAGTTTCAGACCAGCCTAATTTAATATGATACAACTTGAAAAGCACTACAAAATAGTACTTTTTGGAAAGATTTATCTTGTCTATGAACAAGCCAAAACCCGTCTGAGCAACACGCATTGCTTCAAAACCAGAATTTTCAAAAAATGGTCTGAATTTAGATTTCTAGATCTTTCCATCGTTTTCCGCTTATTATTAGCTTCAAAACAAGCCCAAACTCGTGTAGGCTCCGCCCATTTTGAAATTTCCCTAAGACACGCGACGCACGACCGCGACGCGCGTGAAAAATCAAAGTGGGTGGAGCCTATCCGTGTTGGGGCTCATTTTGAAGCTTGTAATCTGGGACTGTGGTATAAATAGGTTTCGAGAGAAAATAATAAAAAATTTAAAAGTTATGATAATTTAGAATTTTTTATAGAAGCCATGGCAGAGCCCGCCAGAGGTCCGTTTCTGACCCGTTTTCATGTTTATTTTGTCAAAAAACCACAAATTTTTAGTTGTAAACGGAACACTGGATGGTAGAGAATTGGCTGCTGCAGAATTGATCCTTGACAATGTCGCAATGACGGACAACTCAGAGTACCAGTGTGTGGCTCGGAATCGATTCGGATCTGATTTTTCGAGTCACGTCAAGCTATTAGTCTACCAAGCTCCCAAATTCACATATATCCCTTCTGACATGTCCATCCTAGTCGGACAAAACGCCAAATTCCTATGTGCTGGCACTGGAACACCCCGCCCTGAAGTCAAGTGGGCATTTGAGAGGATCCCATTCCCAGCGGCAGAAGCTAGAAGATTGTATGTGACACAGAATGATGATCATATCTATGTGATGAATGTGACAATGGAGGATCAAGGGGTGTACACGTGTCATGCGACAAATATAGCAGGACAAGTGCAAGCAAGTGCCAAGTTGGGGGTTTTTGGTGAGTTAGTTGATTTTGGGATTGGTGCTGAAACATTTGAAAGATTGATTTTCAGCCATTTTGAGCATTTTCAGAAGTCTGGAGCTTGGTTGTCAAGTTTCCGATCACTTTGAAAACTTTGGAATGTGTAAGACAGGCCTAGATTAAAAACTTTGCATTCACAGAATTTTTGAAAATTCCTTTTTTTCCGATTCCTGAAAGACATTACTTTTTGGTCAGTTTTTGTACAGAAAACGTGAGAAAACAGGCGTCTTTTAGAAATTAACAAATAACTGAAAAATAGACAATAACATTCCCTTAAATTCTGTATAAAAATCAGCGTTCCAGCTCGTTTGGGAGCAAAGATATAGCTCTTTGAATTTTTGGAGGCTAGAGAGGCAGCGTGTCTTGTCGTCTGCGTGTCTGACCTCACCAACTTCAAATGATCTGTATCTCTATTTCTAGATGACTTAGAAAATCAAATTTTAGACAGGATCGTACGTTTTGAATCGAATTCTCCAATTGTCTGCCGGTAGTCGGCCGTTGGTCTGTCGTTGGCCCGTTTTGGCATAATTTTGTTTTGCCACCATGGCAATACGAGCCAACGACGGACCAACGGTAGATCACTGGCAAACAATCTGAAAATTCGATTTAAAGCGTGCAATTCTGTTCAGAAACCGAGTGTCTAGCTCATCTGAAAATTGAGATGAAGTCATTTGAAGTTTGTGAGGTTAGAGACGCAGAGGAACAGACACGCTGCGTCTCTAGCCCCCAAAACTTCAAACAGCTATATCTCGGCCCCCAGATGAACTAGAGAGCTGAATTCTATACAGAATTGAAAAAAAAAACTTTGTTCTCTATTTTTCAGCTATTTCCCGAAAGGCATCATTTTTGTCCGTTTTTGTATTATCCTTGTCTGAGAAAAAAAAGGTTGAGACGCAGAGAAAAAGTGTCTGTGTCTCCACCTTATGTGTGCTATTTAGGCTCTCCGCTTCGATATCGCTACCGTATTCAGACTGCAAAAAATACTCTCTAACCTTTTTTTTCTCAGACAAGCATAATACTAGGCTGTGAAAAAACTGGATTTTTTCAGTAATCTGTCAATATGGGAACTTCTTTAAAGGTGGGGAGACATGAAAAAAAATAACGTTCTCGACATTCTGTTCGAATATGCCCGTCGAGGAGTTGAACTTGTTGGGGCGAGTATTGAGGGTGCGGAGCCGCTGCCGACTGAGCCACGCGGGCAAAGAGAAAGCGCAAGCCTGATTGCATACATAAAGGCGAGGACGACCGCTGTACGCAGAGTGACATTAAGCGTTGTACACCGTCACGGTAGAATGCATACCCTAACTCCAAAAAACCTCAGAAAAATCTCCTGTCCCTCGGCTTGTTTTTCACCCTCCGAAATTCTCATAATTGGAAACTTGACAACTAAGCTCCAAGCTCCAGAAAGTGGCCAAAATCAACTGAAAAATACTTGTCGGTCGGTACTGAATGTTTTGTTCCAGACAACAAATTCCACTACCCTGATGACCCTGACCCAAAGACTATCAAAAAGGGAGGATCCTTGAAGATTGATTGCTCAGTTGATCTTCAACCAGACATCCAGAGAATCGTATGGAAACGAGACCAACAAGTGATATTATTCCAAAAGAAAGTGAAATTTTCGAAAAAGGATCAAATTCTGACAATAACTCAGACGACGTTCTCTGATGCTGGAGAATACTCGTGTGAATTATGGGCTGATGATTCGATGCTGATAAGGAAAGTGACCAATGTGAGAGTGATGGGTGAGAATGGTAAGAAATTAGAAGAAAGAGTAAAAAAGTAATTGTTTCAAATATCGTAAAATCTGTAATAGAATGGCCTTCACACTGTAAAGTTCGAGCTCAATTATCTCGGTTCCTGTGAGAGATATTGAAAAATTGTTAACTGATAAAATATTGTACATGTTGTGATAAATAATTTATTAGTTGACAAAATTTTGATATCTTTCACAGATATGGAGATAATTGAGCTCAAAGTTACCAATTTGGATGGACGTCTGTTAGAGGAAATAGCAATAGAATGGCTCCCCAAACCATCATCTTTGAGCTCAATTATCTTGGTTCCTATAAAAGATACCAAAAATCTGTCAACTAATAAAATATTGCTGATATCATGATAAAGACTTTATCAGTTGACTACTTTTTGATAAGATATCACCGGAATCGAGATAATGAGGATCAAAGCTAAGTGGGCTTCTATTTGAGGAAATACGGTACGCGTAATCAAGTTTTCAACTAAAAAAGTGTGAAAAATAACAACAATCATTCATTTCAAAGGAAAGTTTAAAGAATTTTCAGAATTTTCAAAATACGACTCCACTGAAGGCTCTCTCTCCCAGCGTGCCCAAGGAATCCGTGCCATGGCTGCGAAATGGGCTGAAAACATCAAATCCACTGAAAACGGGTTCTATCTAATGGCATCATTCAGTGCTTTTGTGCTGTAAGTCAAAAAAAAATGAAATGTCTGAAAATTTCCAAAAAATTCTAATTTAAAAATTCTGAAATTTTCGTATTTTTTTTCAAAATTTTGATTTTCAGCTAAACTGATTCTTCCATTCTTCATTTTTCCGATTTCGAAACAGATTTAAACAGAATAAGCCTCCCTGGCCGAGATACAAAATTCCTAGGCCATCAATTATTTCTCTTCCAGAATGATCCTCGGCGTGTTCACTTCCATTTGTGTCTGCCTAATAAAATACATGTGCCATCGAGACCCAACACTTAAAATACAACCGGTTCAAGTATAATTTTTGTTCAACTATGTAATTTTGTAATTAGTACCAATTAATTAATTAATTATATGTTCAAAAAATTGAAAAAAATTGTCATCGAATTTCCCCCACCCCTCCAACCACCGGTACATTTCATCTATTGATTTTCGGGTTATGCTGATTTTGGATAAATAAATTTTTTCAGAATTTAAAAAAAATTTCAAATCAAATCGTAAAAAATATTACGTGCTCGACCCTCTCTAGAATTCCACATGTTTCCAAAAATTTCCTTTTTCTCATGCCTCCCACAACCACCCTAAAATCTCAAAATTTCTGAATTTTCTTGTCTCATCATCGTCTACATCTTCTTGGGCAATTCCCCTGGAAGACGTTCTAAGGCGCACACAGTTTTTGAACAATGAATGTCGATAATTACGGTTGGGAAAGCAGCTTATCAATGATTGCCAACGAGCAGACTCGAACGGCAGTGCCACGTCACGGGCATGGAGAGGTTCCTGTCCTCTTGAGACCCGTTTTTATGAATGCTGTCGAAGTTGGATATTCGTGAGTTTTTTTCGTCTTTTTTGGGTATTTTTTAAAATGTGCTATTTGGAGTTTTAACAATTTTTCGAGCTCATTTTGAACGTTCTAGAAATTTCTGAACATTAAAAAATTTTAACAATGAAAAGTACTCAAAAGAATTGTTCGAACTTTGTGAATCTTGTGAACCTTTACAAATTTCCTTCAAAAATTCCTTGAAGTCTCAAAATTCAAAAAAAAAATCCACGTGGCACAAATCCAACTTTTTTCAACAATTTTCAGATTTTGTTCTGGAATCGGTAGAAGTTGTAGATCAAAAACTTAAAAGTTTCAAAAATCGACAAATCGGGAAAAAAACTTTAGAAAATGAAAAATTAATATAAAGTTTCGAAACCCTGAAAATTCATATTTTCAAAATTTCAATAATTTAGAAAATTCTGAGGATTTGGAAATTCGAAAAAAAACTAAAGTTCAGTTTCGGAAATTCTGAAAATGAAAAAAAAAGTCAAAAATACGGAACTCGAGATTTTTGAGAATTTCAGAGAATTGTTGACTTTCCCAGTTTGGAAATTTTGAAATTTTTCTGAAATTTATACCGTAACCACTAATAAAAGTGTCTCCATACTGTCAAGTTTGCGCTAAATTATCTCAATTCCTATACAAGTCATAAAAAATTTATGAACTGATAAAATGGACGTGATATTATGATAAACATTTTATCAGTTGACAACTTTTTTATATCTTTTAAAGGATCCGAGATTTGTAGGCTCAAAGTTAAAAGTTAGGGACCTTCTATTACATGAATTTACGGAGTTTCAAAATTTGGCGAATTTGGCAAAATCTGAAATTTGGGAAATTCGAAAAAAACTTTCCAATTTTCCCAGATACGCCCATTGTGACCGTGACAAGAAGCTAAACGTGCGCGGTGTCACAATTGCCCTCTGGTATTTCATCTGTCGTGGTCATCAGGCAATCGCTCTTCTACCGTACTGCTTCAAAAATTATGCGGAAAAATCGTCGCGCTACTCGGAACTGATGATGCTCTATCGTCTGAATCTCATCGAGTTCACGCCGGGTTACGGTACGGAAAAATATGCGGAAGTCAATCGAATTATGGTTAGTCGAGCATACGAAACGGGCGGTTGTCTGGTGGCAAGATCTCAAATGCAAGGCATCACGGACAACAAGTCGCATTTGGTGGATCTTGTTGAGAATCGGTAAGATCCTGGTGGATGGACAAATACATAAAAAAAGAAACTTATAGCCTTCTGATGCCAACTTTCAACGGCGATGACATTATGTTTCCAATCGACGGTCCCTTGGGTAGAAATGGTCCTTCCCTTCAGCAAACTCTCCAGTGTGAACAAGGATCCGGAGACTGGAGATCGTGTTCTGAACATCAACTTTTGCTCTCGGATCAACGTCATTGGTTGGAGAAACTGGCGTTGTTGGTGCCAGAGAAAGTGATTTGGACTCGGATGACACAACTGATTCAAGCGGGGGGAACTGAGGATACCACGGATTATGAGAATGAGTGAGTCCAGAAATCTGAAATTAAATGTATTGAATTTCAAATATTTTAGACCACCGATGCCTTCATCTCCTCCAGTAGACAACCCATTCCATCGCTCACCATCCCAACATCAGCAGATTCAGCAGATATCCCCATCCAACTCTTCTATCAACAATGACGCCTCTTCCTACCAACATCAGGAATCATCTCCGCCATCGCATCATCACCATCAATACCAACCACACAGTCCACAACAGCATCATCACCTTCAGAATCCTCATCAATTCCAACAACATCACCGTCGACCAGTCCGTCGTTACTATCACTATGGTCATAATAATTACCATCACTATAACAACAACCATCATCATAATAATCGGGATTATAATCGTGATTATAATGGAAATTGGAACAATCCGAATGGTCCAGGAAGCAGTGGAAGCAATGGAGGATCAACTAGACTTTTGATTCGGTATGGATCATCTCCACCGAAAGTTGTGAACCATCATCATCATGGTGGAAGGTACCATGGGGGAGGACGTCTTCAACAATTGCAACGAATGGAACATATGAAGCATTCGGATACCACGGAATCGGCAGAGTCCACGGATAGCACACAGTCTGGCGAGTTTGAGGTGAGAGCACTATTTAAAGGCGCATAACTTTTTTTTTCTAAAACAAGCCTGGCTGGTGCGCTTTCGGCGCGTTTTCGTCGCTCTACCTCCTCATGATTTGATTTTCAGAGCCCAGCCCACTCGATCGAAATGGACGAGGATGTGGCTCGTGAGTTGAATGTAAAACTGATGGAGGAGACGAGAGATGAGTATACGAGACGGGAAAAAGAAGATTCGGAAAGACAGAAGAAGGATGAAACCCTAGCGCAGTTGTCTCAAATTTTTGGATACCCCAAGGTGAGCAGTTGTTCTTCTAATTGACTCAAACGGTCAACTTTGAGCTCAATTATCTTGGTTCCTATTAGAGATATCAAAAAATTGCAAACTGATAAAATGTGTATCATAATATCATCTATACTTTATCAATTAACAAGTTTTTGATATCTTTTACAGGAAGCGAGATATACGGGCTCAAAGTTAACAGTTGGTGGCCGAGAGGTGAGCAGGGTGGGTGCGGGCGAGTGAGCCCTCAACTTTAAGCTTGTGCGGCTTGGTTCCTGTAAAAGATACTAAAAAAACTATCAACTGATAACATGTTGCTGATATTATGATAAACAATTTATCAGTTGACAAATTTTTGATATCTCTCCAAGGAACAGAAATAATTGAGCTCAAAGTTCATAGTTGACGCTTTGAATTTCGACAAAACCGAGTTTCCAAAAAGTTGGTAGTTCCTTGAAACTATAAATTTTTCCAGTCCACCCGCGTGATTTCCAAATTTCCGACAATCTCAAATTCCACTTGCTCGTCGAGAAATGCATCAACGAGCCGGATCAAGAAGGAGATGGTGGCGAATTTGCCGATATTTGGGCGCCAGAATCTTCTGGAACGCTTCTTTCTACTGGAACGTCTTCTGGAGCATCTTCTGAAGACTCGAATATTGTAGTGATCGAGGAGAATCTTATCGATTTTTCCGATCCTCCACTGATTCCAACAACTGGTCCGATTGACGGAATTCGTGAAATTCAAGGAGCAATCCACCAACTTGTCGATTTGATGTTTTAAAGAAAAAAAGAAGAGGGATATTGATCATTGATTTATTGATCTTTGTAGAATTATTCGTGATAAAGTGTTTTATGTAAATTATTGGCATATTTTTTCTTGATAATCTAGAACGAAGTTCAAAGATTCTGAAGTTCAAAAATTGCAAAAAAATCTCACAATCTAGAAATTGTGCAAAATCGGAACTTTGACACCACGCATCAATAAAAGCAAGGTTTCGAAATTCATAAATTCAAAAAATTCGAAAAACCAAGGCCTGCAAATTTTCTGATTCTGGGTTTCGGAAATTTTTTAAATCGAGCTATGCGGTTACCCAAACAAGCTAGGGACACTTTTAAAGTAGCCACATCTCGATAACTTTTTGACCAAATTTCATGAAATTTAATTTTTTCAATTCTGCGTTTTATTAGCTTTCAGATGAGTATAAATACGACAAAATTAACTTTAACAGCTACTTTATTCCTTCCCACATTTTAACAACAAAAATAAATAAAAGAAAACTACAGTAATCTAATTCAATCCTGTTGTTTCAATGGGAGGGTTTCAAGGAAATTGAGAGTAGTTTTGGCTGGAAACTCCTTCAACATCATCTCCATCACTCTATTCCCTTGCTCTTTGACTGATTCCATGAGTCCTGGAAGATGCGATGCTAGTGGAAGGAGGCACATCCATTTCTTCATTGATACGAGGGACCAGGCAGGCAATCTGGGAATTTCGAATTTAGAATTTTTGAGAGTGCAAGTGAAAAATCTTACCTTGGTCTCAAAGGGCTCACGAGGCTGTGCCTTGCTGATCTCGGGAAGAGCTGGCTCGGCAGGAGTACGCAGGCCTAGCCCCAACATCTGTTGAGTCAGCTTGATATTCTCCTTCACCAGCTCATACTCCTCCATAGTCTCCTCCAGCAAACTGACCAGACCATCAAGCTCCTTTATCTTCTCCTCCTCAGCCTCCATTCTCTGATTGACCACCATGTACAACTTCAAAAGCTCTCGAATGTTCTCACGGAACTCCTGAGAGCCCTCAGTCGCTTTCTCCAGATTCCACTCCAGGGTCGAAACCATTAGTTCTTTGGTTTTCAGGATAACAGTTTCCATTTGGGTGAAACGTTCGTTGCAGATTTGTTCCACGTATTCACCAAGGATCTTGACTTGTTTCTGTCTAAAAATTTATAGAATTTTGTAGTTTGTAGTTTACTTCACACTTAAATTTTCTTTGATACTCTATTTCTTGCAGGGCCAGGTTTGGAATCAAACGCGCTCTATCGCAGTTTATCCATTAAAGTTTGTATTGTGTAGTTTGTAGTCTGTAGCTTGTAGTTTTTAGTTTGTAGTTTGCAGTTTGTAGTTTGTAATTTGTAGTTTGTAGTTTGTAGTTTATTTAACGTTTCGATTATCTTTAAGCTATGCTCCAATTACTTCAAAGTCACGTTTTGAATCAAATGCGCTCTATTGAATTGACGTGGCTCGTCTAGTGGCTATGTGGAAAACGATGAAGTTACGAAGCCAAAACTACTTGAAAATTAAAATGTAGAAAACGCGCTCTACCGAAACACTCAAATGTTTTGAATTTGGCGCCAAAATGGGGGTGTCCCAGAGGAAGGGAAACAAGGCTTTTAGCCCAAAACGCAAACTAACCGCTCAACCTCCTTGGCAATCATCTCGTTCAATTCGTCCATCATCTCCGCCTGATAGTCCAGCACCTCCAACTTCAGATCCCTCTCCTCAACTGCGGCCGAATCCCCACGAGCCTTGTCTACTTCAGAATCCATTGAACCACGGTGATTTCCAATTGAACATGTTTCTTCGCTCATTTCGTGATTTATTTTATGAGCTTTGTTCAGGAATTGATAAACTGGAACTAATTTTGATTTGGTCGGATTTTTGGCGTTTTGGGATTTTTGGGCGGTCCGGAGGTGGCAAGCAAACTAGGACAGTAGGAGGAAAGCACGTTAAAAATAATTCTGAAACTATCTGAAAAGGTTTTGACGTCAAAATTTTTTTCCAAACTTTTGTAGATCACTGTCCCAAACTCTCAAACCGTCTACTTTGAGCCCATATATCTCGGTTCCTGTAAAAGATATCAAAAATTTGTCAACTGAAAAAATATTTGACATAATATCAGAAACATATTATCAGTTGAAGCCTTTTTCATATCTCTCACAGGAACCGAGATAAACCGGCTGAAAGGTAAAAGACCCTGTTATTAGAGGCTATTTTTCCATTTTTGCTGTACTCAAGTTTTTTGGAAATTCAATTCAGATGGAACCCGTCTGCAATACCTGTCATATAATAAACAAATTGTGTTTATGGTACCCTATCAGATGACCCCCCCCCCCTCCTCCTACTTAGCCCCGCCCCCGTCCGATCATATTGCACACATAAACAATGACTATCGATTTCACTTCACTTCGCCCCCTATAGATGATTTCAATAACTTCTTCCTATTCCATTCCTCTCAGCTGAAGCGAGTGATCATGGATATCTCGGAAGGGTTAACCCTTCTGAGCATGTTCACTCTGAATGTTGGTCTGGAGCCAACGGCAGCGGAGAATCAGATGAGATACGCGGCAGAGGTAACGTCGGGAATTTTTTCGGGATTCTGGGATCCTAGAGCTGAGCTTCCCTTGAATCTTGAGTCTTGGGACATCCTCACCTCTAGGGCTTCCACAAGCAAATTGCGGGCGGCCATGACTCAGGTCTTGGGTAGGTTGCCGTGAACCCATCAATCCGTTCAGAATCCATTAGGGCCGCTAGCCCTTTTCTAAAATTCCGTTCTCACCTCCTACCTCCTACCCCAGTCTCAACTTTTCAGCAAAAACTGCGTAACGAAATTCTGATCAATGCTACCGCCTCAATGCCTGGACGTGGGTCAAACCCAATCACCGCCATCACAATGCTACATGTGGACCATCTTAGGGATCTGGATCAGTCAAAAGGAACAATGTCTATGTCGCTCTCTTTTCTTGTAGTGAGTTATTCTAAAAATAATTTAGCTCAATTACTATGAATGATATCAAAAAGTAGTTCACTTACAAAATAATGATGATAATATGATATTTACACTTTGTCAGTTGACCACTTTTTGATATCTTTCACAGGAACCGAGATGAATTGGCTCAAAGTTGGCTATTTGGGAGAGTTCTATTAGAGTTTGCCTATCTATGATTAGCAGCCACTAGGTTCTAGGCTTCACAAAATTGAAAAAAAAAATTTTAGACATGGATGGACGAACGATTCCGCTGGGATCCCAAAGACTACCATAGTGTCAGAAGTGTCAATGGAGACAAGCCTTCATGGTCATCAGCCTTCTGGGTGCCCAACATTCAAATTGCTGATATGTGAGATTTTTTATGATTTTTACAATGTTTAGCTTAAGATTTTCAGGCCGAGTTCCCAAAAGTCTCCAGGTCTCTTCATGAATCCAGGTGTAGAAATCACCGTAGAGTCCAGTGGAACTGTGAAAGCGTTTGTGAGGACTTCAATGACAATTCCTTGTTATTTCAACTTTGGCGATTTTCCGAGAGACTATCAGAACTGCTCCTTTACTCTGCTGAGCCCTTATTATGCTGATGAGTGAGTTAAACATCCTGGACTTTTGTGTTTTAAAAAATTCCAAAAACTAATTTAAAGATTCCAATTCAACGATTGGTCAACTATAAACTCTGGGAAGTACGGTACTCCTGATCAGGTCCCAGATACCGGAGACTTTGAGTTGATTGGGATGGAAGCTCGCAACTACTACCTGTTCCTAGGAACTCAAATTGTTGAGAACTTCAAGGGGTGAGTGATGGGCAGCCCGTCGGCGGGTCATGAAAACTTGAATCGAATAAAAATATTCCAGATACTCCCCAAGATACTGTCGTGGATTCCTTCGCTACACTCTAATGCTAAAAAGGATGAACAAGTTGATTCCAACACTGATCCACGCTCCAATGGATGCGATTTCTGTGTAATAATCTGAAAAACAGACTTCGGACCTAAAATTCTGAACAATTCTAGATTCGTAGGTCTAACTGGAATCCTGCCTGATCAGGAGGCCTTGATGACTTTGATTTCATGCATCGGATTTTCGATGTTGTTCGCTATGCAAGCAGCAGAGGTTCTGCCGGATAATTTCAATGGAATGCCAACAATTGGTAAGCTACCCATCCATAGTTTCTATTAGAATCAATACTTTTGAATCCACTAAATTGGATATGATATAACTCATTAAGTACTACATACGAAATGACTTTATTTGGAATACTGTATCTTGTCGATGAGCAAAGTTACAAGCCTTAAAGCTGTGACCGCTTAGCTGATTGGTTATTGACTTGTAACTTTGTTCATAAACAAGATACAGTATTCCAAATAATATCATTTTGTAGTACTCTTTAAGTTCTATTGTTTTCATTTCAGTTGGTTGAAAAATATTGATTTCAAAAGAAACTATGGTTTGCCAGGGCCCGGATACCAAAACCTCCTCTTTCAGGAATCCTCATCATGGTCATGATGATTGAAACCATACTTCTCTTGACCTACAAAATCTTCTCCATCTATTGTCGCAATCGTAAACTCAAAGCTATCAAAGGAAAAAACGAAGATCCATTTATTGATCAGATCTACAAGTACATCAAGATTGGAGACAAAGGTTTGATGGTTGCTCTTCCTCTCCAAGCCGCCTGGAATGTCTATTTGACTAGAAATATCTAATCTATATCTTATTTATGCTTTGTGAAATCTGAAACTTGTTTCATTGCCCTTAAATTGTAAATCGAATACTTTGAAATTCAAAAAAGTAGCTACCGATTTAAGATTCTTAGTTCAGATTGACATACCGTGAACACTCTGTGCTACCCGAACCGTCAACTTTGAGCCCATGTATCTCGGTTTCTGTGAAAGATATCAAAAAGCGGTCAACTGACAAGTTGTTTATCATAGTTTCAGAAATATTTTGTCAGTTAGGCACTTTTTGATATCTTTGACAGAAACCGAGATAAATCGGCTTAAAGATGACGGATCGGGAGACACTACATTAGAGTGCTTACGGTTTTCCGGTGATTTTTGTTTTTGATTTTTTTCTTTAATATTGAAAAATGTTATTCTTATAAGTAGCTGAAATTTAAATAGCTCAAAAACTAGTTTGTGAGTTTATAAACCCAATTTTCTATGATTCTTCTTATTTCTTATCTTATTGGACCCCTAATTTTTTTCTTTATAATCTTGTTCGCTGATCCAATCTTCCTTTGTATAATTCCCACTTTTTATAGTCAGATAAATGTTTATTCCGATCAAAAATCGTTTTAGTTCACAATTCAATTATTGTTTTGTCTCATGGCCATTTTTCTGATATAGAAAATTACTGGAACTTCTTGTGGGTACTGATTGGTCAGAGACTGAATCGCCTGTTGCATTTGTGCTCCAGTTTGGGAATCGTTGTTGAGAATGGATTCGAGTTGAGATTGGACATTCGAGAGTTGTGAGATGATTTGGGACGTGTTTTGGCTAGCTTGTTGGTTCATTTGCTCCTGTTGTTGGGTGTAGTCAGAGTATTGGGTCTGAAAGGAGAATAAATTAGGTTGGACCAGTTTCGGACATGAAATTTTAGTATACACTCTAATAGAAGACCACTCTGCGTTCACCAGAGATGTCCGGAAGTGTTGAGCTCGGAAGTCGGAAGTAAATTTTTGAACTAGGAAGTCGGAAGTTGGAAGTAAACTTTCAAAATTTCAATTTTTTAAAAATAGCCTATTCTTATTTCGGAGCATAACTTTTGGTATTGGCGCTATTTTTCGACGTTTTTTGATTTTTCTGTTCAAAAATGAACAAATTGGGCACCATTTTTTGCAAAAATTGATTAGCTGAATTTGAGAGTCTGAAGCCGGAAGTGAAACTAATCTTCCGGAAGTCGGGAGTAGGAAGTCGGAAGTAAATTTTTGAACTAGGAAGTCTGAAGCCGGAAGTGAAAAAATTCCCGGAAGTCGGGATTCCTGACATCTCTGGCGTTCACTTTGAGCTCAGTTTTTTTCAATTTCTATAAGAGATATCAAAAATTTATCAACTGATAAAATGTTGGTGATATCTTGATAAACATTTTATCAGTAGACAGAATTTTGATACCTCTCCTAGAAATCAAGATAATTGAGCTTAAAGTGGATGGTCCCTTATCCTACTTGGCCTAGAACCTTCTAGACTGCTCTAGACTCGTTTCTAAGCTCACCGAAAGATTATTTGTCTGAGCCCACTGCTGCAATTGTTGATCCTTTTGTTGCTGAGTCAAAGTCGAATCTCTCATGATTTGATAATATCCCTGTTGCACATTTCTTGGCGTATCCCTCAAAAAGCTTGGGTATCCTTGTCCAGCAGAGACGACAGCGAGAATAGCAAAGAAGGCGATGAGGGAAGAGTTCATATTTCTTTTTGAGAAGAAGGTGATTTTTAGAATCCCAGACCTTCCTCTTTTTATACTCTAAACCCTGGCATTGAATTCTGAAGTGATGTCTGTGCACTATGTATTTGTTTGTGTCTATGTATTTGATTTTTTGTGAAGAACAAGAGATGAGTCAGAGCGCAAAAGTTGCAAAACCAATAAAAAAGTTTTGAGTCACTTTTTTTAAATTTGTACTACTACCTTTTACTTTTTTCGAGAGTAGTAAACAGTTCAAAGATTTGTCTTCAATAGCTCTGTTTGTCTGAATCATACTTGTAAAATGAAGGCTCGGCCCGTTACGAATAATGACTGAATGTCTCAAAAAAAATCTCTAACCGTTTTATTTATGACACATGGCAAATTATTAGCTAGCATAATTCAAAGCTCGGAAGCTCAAATAGCAGATTTCGGTGTTGTTAAGATTTTCAAAATCGGATCTCCATCAAAATACTGACATTTTCGTGTGAACGTTGGGTAGGGATACTTTGCCAGGCAATTGATAAATGTCTCGTCACATTGGCATACAGATTGGAGGCATTTGTTTTCGTCTGGAAATTGGTTTTTTAGAATTTTTAGAGGTTGAAAAGTTGACTTAAATGACCCGAGGGTTATTTTTCGGCTCAAAATGTTTCCTAGCCAAAAGTAAGCACCGTACCTTTGAGCCAAGTTATCTTGCTTCATGTGAAAGATATGAAAAAGGTGCTAACTGATAAATTGTTGATCATAATCTCCCAAGTTCTTTATCAGTTGTCAAATTTTTGATATCTTGCAGAGAAAATCTAGCTCAAACACTGTTAATTTCAGGATCCCTGAATTACTGTTGGCTGAAAACTCACTATGACAGGATAGCTCCGAATTAAAACATTCCCATTTGTACAGGCAAAAATATGGAGAATTTGAGTTTTGACACCTTTTGGAGATAATGAGGCCATCATAGCACTTGTTGTGTTCTTGACAGCATCTGTAATGAAAATAGGGTGAGAATACAGTAATCGTCAACTTAGACCTAATTTATCTCGGTTACTGTAAGAGATATCAAAAATTTTGGTAAAATGTTGGCAATATTATGATAAGCATTTTGTCAGTTGACCACTTTTCGATATCTCTCACAGGGATAGAGATATATGAGCTCAAAGTTGACAGTTAGCATTTTTATAGCTTTGAACTCACTTATCGATCCCATCAATCGGCTTATCTGGAGCCATACCGGAACAGGAGCATCCGTAATATCTATAGGCATCAAATGGTTTGTCCATTCTACAGTAAGACATGTCATCCAACTGGTATAATACATTGCAAGAAGAGCAGAGCACTTGACGGAGCACCAGAGCAAAGAAGGAAAGGTATATTAACATTTTTCTGGAATATACGTCTTTAAAAACTGCGATTCAGGTTACAATTGAGAAAGGGATACTGTAGAAGGTGTTCAAGTTATAAACCACAAAAAAGTTTCAGTCAAAAGCTAAAAATACATGCACAACATGTAACAGAAAACGACCTGCCTTTTTATGTCTCTATTTACCAGCAGATAACACGTTCTTGGGGCGCCAGATGCTCGTAAAAATCACCCCCAAGGCATTGTGATGACGCAAGTTGTGATTGAGAAATTTAAAAGAAGTACTATAATTGAAGGGTGCTGAATTATTTTTGGTAGGCGGAAGAATGATAGACAGGTTGGGAGATTCTAGTTACAAGTAAAACCTGTATTAGAAGGGCCTATTGTTCCAAGGTACCTCCGAGGGGCCCTTCTGTTATAGTGCCCTTTTAATGCAGGTTTTGGAGACTGAGAAACTTAAACAAAAGTTTAGAGAGCTGCATATATTGCCCTTGGGACGTTGACCTCAACTATTACAGCTCTTATTAGATATTTGAAATGCCGTAAAATCTAGTTAAGCCAAATTTGAATTAAAGCCAAGTTAAGCCAAGTTTGAACAGATTTTTCTCGACTTCTATGCAAGATATAGAAAAGTGACCAACTTATATATTGTTCATCATAGTCTCACAAGCATTTTATCAGTTTATCACTTTTTGATATATTTCACAGGAACCGATGTAAACTGCCTCAAAGTTAAAAGTGAAGAGGCCCAAGTGTTACGGTAGTTGTAACCTTAAAAAATCGAGTCTTCTTAATAGAAAACATGTTATTAGTTCATCAAATTTTCAATTATTTATTCAAAACTGAAAAAGACATCAAAGTGACGAAGAGTCAATATGCGGAATTCAGAAGGAGGACACCTAAATAAAGATAACAAAAATTGCAGAAACCACTTTATCTATTTGAGTTGCTGATCTATGAATCACACACAATTCAAAGTCTCATTTCCCTTCTGTGACAGGTCATTTGGTAGGGAAAAAGCAATAAAAATTAGGTAATAAAATAATTTCGAGTGTGATAACCTGATAACCGCCTGATAGTTTGCTTTTTCAAAAAAAAAGGGAAATGAAATCGCGTGGTTTTAAGTTCTGAAATACCGAAGTGGCTTTTGAATAGTGAAAATGGTCCAAAAAATAATCCAGTGGTATTACTGTAGACCTGCAAATCTAACTTTTTTAACATATTTGAAAACGGGCCCAAAACGGACTTCTGGCGGGCCCCTGTCATAGTTCCTTTGAAAATCAATATTTTTGACCAACTAGTTTAGACATGACAGAACTCAACGAGTACTGCACAATGGTACTATTTTGAAAACTGTATTTTGTTTATGAACATGTACCCTTTTGTATTTCTCGTCTAGTTCTACCATATCTGATTCAATTTTTCCAGAAAAAAATGAAAAAAAAAACATCCAAAAACATCCAAAAACATCCAAAAATAGTATCTACGTGATCACAATATTATCTGCTTTGAAAAGATGGCGTGGAAATTTCCGAAGTTTTCCCCTAATCTAGTACCCAAGATCCTCTCCCTCCGGTTCCATATAAGCCGACAGCTCAGTGGAAAACTTCAGTTATTCATCAAAAGCAAAATGAGAAAGCTAATCTTTCGATGCTTACTCTTGATGATTTTCATCAGAAACGTGGATAGTGGTAAGATTTTAAACTTTTCAAGACTCAACAAATCAATGGCTTTCAGTTCCAATATCCGCTTCATGGAAATTCAATGCTACCTATTCGATGAAAAATTCTAACGGTAGGATTTCAAAATTTCCTTTCAATGAGCTATTCTAAAATTTCAGCGCCGACCAACTTCCAAATTCTTCGCCCTCCAAACCCAACAGCTCTCCAATTCCGAAACAGATTCCAAAGAAACGGTACGGATTCGTGGAATGCGTTGGCATTTTAAATGTTCCACAAATTTTAGCCCCGCCCATCAGCAAGTTCCAACAACTCATCGACCGTGTCTCCATCCTTTCTCGTATCTCCAATGGAATTGCTCTCCAATCTGGTCTGATGGATGGATCGATTCGAATCGAAGATGCTGTTGGTGAGCTTCTCAATTTTGGATTAATTCAAGTTAAAGATGTTGCCAACTTCTCATTGAAATCCGTGAGTTCGGCTACGCAGAAACTCAAAGAAATGCCCACATCGTTGGATTCGTCTGTCGAAGAGCTAGAGAACGTTGCATTACTTTATGATCAGACCAGAGTTGATTCTGAAGAATGTAAAGGCGTTCTCGATCTTCCTGGGAAGACAGAGTATTTGAATGCTATAAAAACTTTCGATACTGATTTCAAGAATGTCTCATTCAAAGAACTGAACAGTGCCCTTAACGATATCATTTTATCACTGACAAACATTGAAGAACTGGATTTGAGCCTGAAGAGAAGTGACTATGATTTAAGCACGATTTATTTCACTAAATTTATCGGATTGCCTAGGCAGCTCAAAACAGTCGAGATCAAGTTTTCTGAGGTTATAAGCGCGATGGACATGAAGAAGTTCAACAAATTGAAAGAAAGTGAAAAAATCTTCAAGCCAGTCGAATTGATGATCAACCTCATCATGCGACGTCGAGAAATTGAAAAATTTCAGTCAACACCAAACTACAAGATTGCCAAGAAAAATTTTGAACAAGTTTTCGAATTCGTAACTATCTTGGATTCATCTAAGAATGACGTTGCGTTTCTGAAGAGCTTAATTAGTTCTAGAACCCAAAAAAACATTCTACATTATACCGATGGATACCCGGGTGGGGTTTCTGACATGAAGAAACTGACCGATGATGTTCAGGATTCTTCTTTGAAACAGTTGACAGGTAGTTCTGTTTCACTAGAAAAACTGGCGAACGGGTTGAAACCTTTATTCAAAATCATTGATCAAACATCAGTTATTGATGAGAAATTGGCTTCAACTTCTTCGAACCACGTCATGAATGATTTGAAACATTTCAATGATATTTCTGAAATGGTTGTGAATGTTTCTCAAAACTCTGTTGAATCTGCTGAGACCTTCAAAAACTATGTCACTTGTCATAATTTGGCGTTGGCGCGTGTCATTTATTCAGAAATCGAAAAAATCATTAATTCTGCGAAGATGATTGAAAAAATGACGACTGGAATCATCGAAGTTTTTGGGAATTTTAATATTGAAAAACTGAAGACCGACCACGAAAACTTCATTACGAAGCTTGGGTTCAAAGATATTGAAGATCCCAAAACTTCGAAAAAGGAAATGAAAGACGTTTTGGGCAAGCTGAAAAAAAGTGAAGTATCCGATCTCCTTTCTAAGATGAGTCAAATTAAAGATAGTATTACTGTCAACATAACTGCACTCCTGGAACATGTTACGGTTTTAAAAGAGAAGGGAAGTACGGTGAACCAGTTCGAAGGATTGGAAGATGAAACTAAATTTCATGAATGTCTTCGAAAACTGGCGGATGAGTCTGTGATTCTTGCTCATGTTGTTTGAGTGACTCAGAAACTTCGAAAAGTGAATACCACAAAAATTCCAGAAGTGGAGACGATTGCAAGAACTGTGGCATCAGTTTCTCAGGATCTCATGTCGATTGGAAAGATCCCTGAAAATATGAAAAAGAATGTTCAACCAGCCACCACAGAACTCAATGCCATGTCGGATGCTCTTGAAACTTCTCGAAATATCAGCAAGTCCTTGAACACTTTCAAGAATTTCAACGAATTGAAAGGAATGTCGGCTTCCGTTGATGAGTTGGATACCGTGGAAAAATCAGTAGCCGATGGAATGAAAGCCATTCAGAATGCAGCTTTAAAAACTCAAATGCAGGCTCAATGGGGAAATCATACGGTTTTTGTCGACGATCTGAATTCCACAATACACTTATTGAAGGATAACGAGAAGAGCTTGAATTTGGAAAGTCTCAAAACCTTCGAGGCTCATGGAAACACAATTAAGGCCACACTACAATCAGTGGACCTTCCGGAAATGAAGCTTGCTGGGAAACTGAAAGCTTTGGATACTTTGATTCCTTCCACTAAAAATTCAAAGGTGAAATTGGAGTTGGAGAAGAGCAAGAAGACGTTGGAGAAACTAGATTCACTGAATCTCGACTTTTCAAGCCACGCCTCAACAATCCAAAACCTTCCATCTCGACTCAAACATCTCTTCGATTTTTTGGTTCAATTCTCCATTTCAAAGCCAGTGGTAGATCCAAATCTAGGACCTTCAAAACCACCTCATATCATATATGCCAGCGATCGGAACAGTGAAGATAAAGAGGAGGATTTGTGAGTTTTTTTCTGATTTTTTTCAAATTTTTATTTTTTTTTTCAAATTTTTCAGAGGACTAATCCTTGGCATCACCGGTGGCTCATTCATAATTCTCGGTGCAATCGCTGCTAGCACGTTCCAACTCTACAAATATTACAAGTCACGAATGAGTTTGAAAGGAATGAAAAAGTGGATTAGGGCACAGAAATTCGAGACTCACTCGTCAGCATACAGATGCCATGAAGCCTATATGAGATGCATGGTGATTCCATCAGAATCGTTTACAAACGATAAAAAAGCCGCTTCATTCTCCTATCTGCCAGAGAACAAGCATCGGTTAGTGATTCAGAAGAAATTTCAAACTTTCAACTTTGAGCCCATAAATTTCATTTTCTACTGAAGTTATCAAAAAGTAGTCAACTGACAAAGTTTTTGTCATAATATGAGTAACTTTTTATCCGTTGACGAATTTTTGATATCTTTCACAGGAACCAAGACACACAAGCTTAAAGCTGACGGTTCACTCGCCCACACTCATTTAGGGATGATGGTCACCTCCCAGCTTACCCCGGCCCCCAGTAAACTGTCCACTTTGAACCTATATATCTCGTTTCCTGTAAGAGATATTAAAAAATTTTTAACTGATTAAATATTGCTGATAATATGATAAACATTTCATCAGTTGACAAAGTTATGATATCTTTTACGGGAACCAAGATATGTGAGCTTGAAGTTGACGGTTTGAGCCGACAGGGGCCCGCTGGCGGGTCAACCGCCCCCCCCCCCCCCCCTGACACAAACCCCCTTAAAAATGTGTTTTTTTTTCAGAACCAACAACAGATGGTGTAATCCGGAAACTGCTCTGAAGCATTTGAAAAAGGACGGAAAGATAATGTCAATCCACGCCAACTTAATCAAGTCTGCCAATGGAAAGCAATGGATTGCCACGCAGGTCTGTCTGTGGGTCTGTTGGTCCAATAGCAGATACTCTTTTCAGGCTCCACTCGATGAGAATGAGAAAAAAAGATGGGCGGACACCAAGGAAGATTTCTGGCACATGGTCGTTCACGAAGGTGTTGAGGACATTGTGATGGTTTGCAACTTTGTGGAGAAAGGTGAGTTATCTGTCTATCTGTGTTTCCGGATGTCTGAACTCTTCTAGGTGAAAACAAGTCGGCAGTATACATCCCTCGGGAAGTCAACGAGGTGTTGGAATGTGGAAGATATAAATTGAAGACGTTGTCCTGCGAAAAGTTCAACGACTGTGCGAAAGTTGAGCTTCGCAGAATTGAGGTTAAGGATACCAAGTGAGAATATATTGAGAGTTTTGAAAAATGAAATAAATTCAAAAATTTCAGAAGCATTTTCAAGAAAACCGTTGTCAACCACTATCACTACACTGGATGGCCAGATCAGAAATGTCCTGAGGAGGGAGAGTTTTTGAGTACGTACAAAATAATGAGTGAAGTGGAAAAGAGCAAAGTGAGTTTTTTTAAATCTATTCTTTTTGTTATTTTTGCCTTTTCAGAAACCTACCGTAGTGCATTGCTCATCTGGAATTGGCCGTACAATGGCATTCATTGGGACCCATGTGATTGCAGAAAATGTGAAAAGGGATCATGAAGTGACAATGGGAGACGAGTTGACAAAACTTCGGAACCGTCGTTGGCATTCGATTCAAACTATTCGTCAGTCGTATTGGCTTCAAATGTCAGTGTGCTATAAACTGAACAAAGATCACAAGTTGAAAATGAAAGAGGAGTTTGCTGAAATGTTCAAAATGTTCTACGAAGTTGCATTCAAAGAAATGGTTACACCGGAGTTGGCTGCGGAGAGAAAGAAGATGAGGGAGGAGAAGGCAATTGCAGAAGCTGAAGGAAGGAAGTTTGATACGACACAGAAACCGGACTCGGATATCGGGAAAGTGATTCTCTATTAAGGATCGTATGGAATCCTATCTTGTGTAATAAAGTTTTAGAATAAAGTTCTGTAGTGATTTGGCTCTTTTTGGAAAAAAATTGCCGAGGTTCAAATTTCTGAATTCCCGATTTCCAGTTTTTGTTTGTTAACTAATAGAACTTTTGAACTTTTGTGAACAATTTCTACAAATCTTTGAAAGCTCAGAAGTTGGTTTTTTTTTCTGTAAAGTCAATTTAGGATTCGCAGTAGTAGAGGTGGATACTGTGAAAATTGTAACAGAAGAGCCCCCACTGTCAATTTCGACCTCAAATATCTCGATTTCCGTGAAAGATATCAAAAATGTGCTAACTAATAAAATGTTTGTGATATTATGATGAACAATTTATCTGTTGACAACTTTTTCATATCTTTTACAGGAAGCGAGATAATTGAGCTCAAAATTGACAGGGGGCCATTGTATTACAGGTTTTACAGTAACCTTGATCTTTCCAGTGAGAATCATTCCAGTTCCAAAAAAAACCAATAATTACACTTCATTTCATATTTACTCTCAAAAAAATCAACAAACAAAAAATAAATGTTTTATCGCTATCAGAAAATCCATTGACGTATTGGTTCTATCCATTTTACAGGATTGGAGGATGAGGAGACGTATCTGCTACTCGTCCTTCTTTTCCGGAGTCGCATCCGGTGCTGGTGGTGGAGCTGCTCCGGATTCGGAAGCGTCGATTCCAGACTTGGGCACTTCGCTCTTCGCCGGTGCGCCCTTCTTGTTCTTCTTGCCGCACATTTGAAGTGTGTCTGGAAATAGAATAGGTTTAAACTGACAGGTTGTTGTCCTGGGTGGTGGTTTTTTGCTCTAGTCTGACCTAGCTTGTCCTAGCCTACTCCATATATCCGTAAAATGCTTTTTTCGTTTTTCTTAGTTTGCTCTATTTTGCCCTTCGCTCCTCCTAACTTGCCCTAGCTTGTCCAATCTTGATCCACCTTGCTCCACATTGATTCACGTTTCCCTACTTTGCCCTTACCTGCCCTAACTTACTCCACATAGTTACACATTGCCCTACAGTATCCCATTTTGCCCATGCCGCCCATAACTTGCCCTAGCCTGCCCTACCTTGATCCAAGTTGCTCCAAGTTTTCTCTAATTTACCCTAAATTTCCTTAACTTGACCTAAGCTTTCCCTAGCTTGCCCTAACTTGTCCCACCTTGCTCCACGCTGCTCCAAATTGCCCTAGCTAGCCTTATCTTTCTCTAGCTTGCCCTAGTTTGTCATAGTTTGCACAAAGTTGGCGCAACTTGTCGTAGCTTGCTCTAGCTAGCTCTAGATTTTCCTAACTTGCCCAAGCTTGCTTCCCTAGCGTTCCCTAATTCACTCCACCTAGCTTCACACTTCCCAACGGTACTCATTTTGCCCCTGCTGCCATAGCTTGCCCTAGCTTCCTCCACGTTGCTCCACGTTTCTCCAAGTTTCCCTAGCTTTTTCTAACTTGCCCTAGCTTTTCTTAATGAGGCCTAGCTTGGCCTTGCTTGCCCTAGCTTGCCCTAGCTTACCCTAACTCACTCCACCTTACTACACGTTGCCCCACGCGTTGCTTTACCCTGGCCTCGCCCACTTACAAGTGTTTATAGCCATGAAAAAGACCATCAAAAGGAAGATAGCACCCATTTCTTTTCGTGTATTGTAAACCGAACAAAAACTGGCTATGAACGGAGGTTTTGGTTCCGAATCAATGGTGATTTTGATCGGGTGCCCCGTATTTTTGAAAAAAAGGGCGGAGCTTAGAAAACTGGGCTAGGAGAGTAGTTCACAAAGAATTTGAAAATAAGTGGAACAACATTTATGGGGGGGGGGGGTTTGAGTTATCCCGTGTACAATTTTTTTATAAATTCCACGTAAAAATCATTCTCAATCCTTCCCCGATATCAATGAAAATAATTTTGAACAAAAACCAGAAGAATGGTAAATTCTATCAGTGATAAGAATGATCTGAAATTTGTGAGTTTTTGGATATTTGAAAAAATTTTGATTTTAAGAATTTTCAGCATTCATGAATCGGAAAGTTGTTTTCTGATCGTGTGTGTTCTTCTCCGAAGCTTCAGTTGACTAGAACTACTTTTTTTTCATCAAATGAATGTTTTTTGAATATGAACAAAGTTTATAAAATAAATTATTATTGAATTATGATTACAAATGAAGAAAAAAATTATAGCACTTGAGAAACAATGATACCATTTCTGGAGACCACTAAATCTGTGGAATCACTGAGATCTTCTCTTGATAACTCATGATACGGTATTCGGTGTCTACTAATTGTTGGTTTTGCATCAAATCCAAGTTCTGGGACGAATACTTGGGCTACGAAACGGGATGGTCCTAATTCCACTTTACATGAGAAATCAGAAGGGATAGAAGTGCCAAAATTTGAAGAGGACACAATAGCTTCAAAGTTTTTGGCAAATCTGAAATAAAATTTATTTGGGATCTAAAAAATGAGCAATGAATGAAACTCACACTTGCCGACTATCCCTTCTCAACGTGGATGCAATTTTAGCTAGATTCTCTTCTAGACTGTCGGATCGTCGGCGCATTTTCTCGTAACTTTTGAGGATCAGAGATTCTAGAGCTTCGTCACAGCATCTGTATCCGAATCGATTTGTGTAGCAAGTTCCATCTTCTTCTCGCTGGATTGCAAATGATGGTTTTCCATAGGCAGCGGAAAAGGGCTGGAAGTTCTTTATCTTTGTTTGATTGTAAGCCCAATTTTTCTGAAACCAGGGGTTTAAAATGAAACATCGTGCTTTGAATTTTTTAGAAAACCTTCACAACTAGCTTGAACTTATTTCTTGCGATTTTCAGAATAAATTGATTTTCGGCGATTTTGATGATTTTCGAGTGTCGGATCATTTTGAGTATTTTGCAGGATTTTAAACAGACCTAGATTGAAAACTTTGCATTTACAGAATTTTTTGAAAGTTCCTAGTTTTTCAGCTATTTGCCAATTTCTGAAAGACACCTGTTTTTCACATTTTTAATACAAAAACTTGCCAAAAAGGGGGTGTCTTTCAGAAATCGGCAAATAACGAACAAACTAGGAATTTTCAAAAAATTCTGTAAACGCAAAGCTCTCCATCTAGGTCTGTTTTACACTCTTCAACATTTTCAAAATGATTGGACACTTGACAGCCGAGCATCAGACTTCTGAAAATAGTCAAGATAACGGGTACTTTAGGCCCAAAATGAATCATGAACCAGTTTCTATAAAACCAGTCTCAAAAAGTTCGAGTTCAATTTTTGCGATTTTCAAAAGATTTTTATCTAAATTTAAAACATTTTTTAGGTTCTATACTTTACGAAATTTTCAATCGCAACACTTTCAACTCACCGATGGAAACGGAATCGCCGGGATCTGTCGATTGATGTTCCCTCGAAAAACATTTGTCCGAAACACAGATCCCACTTCCCCCGTTCCAGATGAAATTGTTCTAATTCTCTTATTCTTCACCACTTTCCTTTGTTTTCTCTTCCTCTTCTTTAGCACAAATTTCGGTGGAACCATCTGTGGTATCTCTACTCTTGCCAATGGTGAATATCGGGATTGTTTGAATAGTAGACCATTTTCAACCACATATTTCATTGGGTTCTTTTCATCTTCAACGAATTTCAGTTGGTCCTCTTCGATTTGACGGGCCAGGTCCATTTCGAATTGGTTCTGAAAATTTGGTATTCTGGATGATATGATCATATATTTTCTTACCACTTCCGGAGACTTTTCCTTCCTCCTTGACACTGGAGCCTTCCTGACTTTTTTTGTGACTGCCCGTTCATCATTACTTAATCCTCCACTTAACACTAATGGTCTTCCAAGGGGTTCACTGATAACTCCATGTAATTTACGAGATGTTGATTTCCGACGAATCTCTATTCCACCTGGATCTTCCAGTTTTTTAAGAATCTGTTGGACTCGAAGATTATCTTCCAGGGGATTCAAGGATACCGATGTGGAACGGTATCTAGAGAGACGGGAACTGGGTTCTGGAAAAATAGAATTTTGGAAAGTTAGAGATAGATCTTCAGATTCAAAATCATGCTCCTTCGATTCATCATCCAATTTAAAGGTGGGGGGACAGGAGATTTTTCGTATTTTTTTTGTATCTAGAGTATGCATTCTACCGTCACAGTGTACAACGCTTAATGTCACTCTGCGTACAGATGTCGTCCTCGCCTTTATGTATGCAATCGGGCGTGCGCTTTCTCTTTGCCCGCGTGGCTCAGTCGGTAGCGGCGCCGCACCCTCAATCATCGCCCTCACAAGTTCAACTCCTCGAGGGGCATCTTTGAACGGAATTTCGAGAACATTATTTTTTCATGTCCCCCCCCCACCTTTAAAGTTTCTGGAAGAGATACTGTAGCAATAAAAGTCCACCATATACGTTCACTTTGAGTTTAATTATCTCGGCTTCTATGAGAGATATCACAAATTTGTCAACTCAAAAATTATTTATCATGATATCAGCAACACTTTATCAGTTGACAGATTTTTGATATCTCTCACAAAAATCGAGATAATAGAGCTCAAAGTGCTCATATAAGGAGTATTTCCGTTCAAGGTTCAAGTATCTGGGTCAGAAAGGTCCCATTTCAATGCCCAATTTTCTTTCGAATATTCCAGTTTGAGCTAGTTTGCAAGAAAAAAATCACCATGTATAAATTCGCGTCCTGTGACTCCATAACTGTAAGTTTTCTGTGACGATACCGTGGAAAATAACTGGTAGATGAGGTAGTAGATAACCGGAATACCGCTTAGTTGCATTGTGTCAAGGAAGATGAAAAGTTGATGGAAAACAGGTAATTGAAAATGGAAAGACTGAAAATTATTATATTTTTAATGATGAAGGGATTTTTAAGAATTTGAAAAGAATCAGTTTACCGTAAAACCTGTACTAGAGAATTCATACAAGTTTGAGCTCAATTATCTCGGTTCCCATAAGAGTTATCAAAAATCAGTAAACAGTTAAATGTTTTTGATGTTATGATAAACATTTCATTAGTTGACAACTTTTTTGTATCTTTCACAGGAGTCGAGATATTTGAGCTCAAAATTAACAAACATGGGGAGCCTTTCTATTTCAGGCTTTACGGTTTCTTTGGTTGGAAAATGATCCACAAAAAATGGGATTTTAAAAAAAAATCTATTCCTACTTCTGTTTTCTGTAAAACCTATTCAAAAATAATTGCTCTCGAACTTCCTACTCAAGAAAAAATGCCCCAAATATGACCTAGAAATGAAAAGTAAATAAGGAAAATGAGAAGAAAAAAGGATGAAAACTGTCATCGGGACATTTTAAGGAAGGGGGTGAGGATGAAATGAAATGCAATTATAATACATAAACAAGCACCTAAAGTGCGGGTCACTTTTCGACGGAAAAAGGAGAAGAAGTGGGCGGAGCTTATGGGGAGACGAGACCGTTTAGAAAATGAAAAGGGATGAGAGGAGGTGGGGGGAATAATTGGAGAAGGAAGGAAAAGTGATTTGCTAGGGAAAGTATGATTTATTAAGACATTCATAACGGGGGGGGGGGGGGGGAAAAAGAGAAGAAAGTTAGGGAACGTTTAGATAAAAAACGACATTTTTGAGGAGGTGAAAAGTGCTAGTTAGCTAGAGGTCGATCCATCAAAATTAAGAGTGTTCAGAATATGTTTCAACAAAAAAAGGATTCCATAAAATCGGAAAAAATTTCCATTTTCAGGAGTCTGGAGCTCGGCTGTCTGGTTTTCGATCATTTTCACAGGTAAAATGCGAACGGGTCCGTTACGGACGCTTTGCGTTCGCGTGCGGTTTAAATAGGAACCGCATACGGACCGCACGAGAACCGTTTTCAGTAAATAGCAGTACATTATTCGGATTGATCGGGATCC